GGGGCCGGGGCCGGGGGCAGCGCGCGGGGACCCCTCGGGTCCGAAATGCGGGGCGGGGGGCCCAGTGCCGTAAATGTCCGGGTGGGAAAGGCTGCGTGGCACGTGTGCTGCTCTGTCTGGAGAAGCCTGTTGTGATCAGCTGGTAGAAAAGCAGGTGTAAGTCCGTGAGACCTTACCCCGCAATCTCCCTGAGAGGGGAACAAGCTGCGTGCCTTGGTGAGAGTGCTTTCCCAAATTGGTTTTCATTTAAATCCCAATTCAAATTGAGTCTGCGTTTTAAAAGACTGACTTTTAGTAAGTTAGATACCTGATTGACCGGCACCGTTTCTCCTGCAGCGAGGGGCAGCGGCTGTTTCAAGCTGCGTGTTGGGACAGCCCGGTGCGGGGACTGAAAAGGGTTTGTCTGTGCCCGGGCTGGGGAGCTGCGCTCCTGCTGCTTCGCCCAGTTGAGGTGTGAGAGGAGCTGCGCCCATGCTGCAGCCGCCCCCGCTGCTGCTTTTCCCTGCTCTCCTGCTGCTCCACTTGCACTGTGGGCACAGCTGGAAGCTGCCCAGCCCTGGCTTAGGCCCCACCAGCTGAAAGCTGTGCCCGTGCTGAAGCCAGGGAGCAGGATGGGGGCAGGTGGCGGCGATGCAGGCACCGGTTCCAACCGCCTGGCCCTAGTGCGGGTGTGGGCAGAGGCAAAGCCCTCTGGCTCTAAGGGCTGGATCCAGCCTATGGACTGTATGTTTCCACCCCCTGCTCTACGGTGAACGTTTTACAAAGCAAAAGTGAGCATTAACTGTAGTCAGCAAAGTAAGTTGTAACTTTAGGCTGATTTTTTTCAAAGATGCAAAAGTGCCAAAGTAAAGGCACTTTTGAAAATCCCCGTGCACACTAAGCCTGCTCAACATGCAGTGAAATGAACAGGATGAAAATGCCACTTGATCCTTTGCCAGCATCCCTATGTATATAAAAATGAAGGTAATTGTATTTGGAAAAATTAAAATACCAACATTCATTCCACTGTAAACGCCAAAAATATGGATGCCTAATGCAGTACATGAAACAGGATGCTTAGGATGATACCAAATTTCACTTATGAAATTTGACTTCACATCAGAAGTTAAGGCCCTTTTCCTCCAAGCTACATAATTGAAAAAGCTGCACTTCTCAAATTTAAAGGAGGACTTAATGTGGCTGTATATTTAAATGTGATTGTAATAGCTTTTGCCTTAAGAGGTTTTCATGGGTTCTGTTTTAAAGAGAGTTATTTTTTAAAAGATTTTTAAATAATGTGTTTAATTTTTTTAATTTATGAGTGAAGATCAAACTCTGTTTATGTCCAGAAATTGGGACTTGCAGGATCCGTTGCCTCTGAAAATTGGGACCTGCATCTGAATTCATGGAGACCTAGATCCCCACAATTCAATTTTTAGGCTTGCTTTCCAAGATGATAACCTGCATTTAAAATATTAAATGTCTTGTACACTGCTACACTTATCAGAAGCCACTAGTATTTCTTTCTTTAGTTCAGGGGTCAGCAACATTTTTGGGCAAAGTGCCAAAACCCCTTGCAACCTTGACTTGTAAGATGTTGGCATGTCGGGGTGGATGCTGGGGGAGCTACAAGGGGCCCGATCCTTGTTGTGGCAGCTCTGCCCCAGCCCCTTCCCCAAGGTGTGTATGCCAAGCAAAATGCCTTCGTGTGCCATGCTGTGGCACGCGTGCCGGGGGTTGCCTACCCCTGCTTTAGTTACGTCTCTGTTAGCTAGTCATATATTTAGTAATGTTTCCAGCATACTATTGTATAGCGTGTCTATAGACAAATAATGGGAACTATAGAGGGATCTGAAGAGAAACCAGAGTATAGACACGGGGAACTATAGAAGATGGAGCTTTGGTTCTTACAGCTACTGATGTATTTTGGGCTGGCAGCTTGCAATGAAACTAAAATGTCAAGATGTGAATTTTTGAACAATAGTTTAATATCCTTACTAATAATACAACAAACTTATCCTTGTATATAGCTTGAGTTAATACCAGAATAAATTATACTTCTTTGGTGAAGAGGTAACATGGAATACTTTAAAATTAACCTGAAACTGTTGCATCATTAGCTCCTTACTGGATGGATGTTCTTTTAGCTCCTAACGGGATGTCTTTTAACTTGTGACCTTAAAACAAATTTGCATTTCTTGGCTTCTTTGCCAAGTTTTTATACTAAAAAGATGCCTCTTTTCCCACAATTAGTTCCAATTTGTTGTAATCTCTACACAATAATTTCCTTTGCAAGAGTCCCAAGAGTTCTTGTAAACCCTTTAAAGTGAATGTTAGTCTCAAATGTTACCCATGTCAGTTTCTGAACAAACTTAAAAATCTTTGCAGTGAAGCTAAATAGCTGTGCGCACTATACAGATTGTATCATTGCAAGCAGTGTTTTCAAAGTCTTTTAAGAACTAATATGTGGTCTATTATTTAATTTAGTAATTTGGTGTTCATTAGGCAATTAGCTTTTGATTTGCCTGCTGGGGAAACCTACCAAATAAGCATGTATTATTTCTGACTTGGTGCATCATTGACATTAAATACAAAATTGGGAATCTAGCCTGTGAAGTTTGGGAATTGGATTTAAGACCTTAAAGGCCAGTGAATAATTATGTTCTTTGCTTTGAAAACTATAGGATGAATAGGGGACTGTGAAACTTAAATGGTTCTGCTTTGAGATTGGGACACTATGAAAACTGATTATTCCGGCAAGCAATCTTGCAAATGTGGTATGCATGTGTTTCATGTAGTCCTATTCAGGTTAAAGTTTAGCATATACTTGTAGCCTTGACTAGCAAACCCTTCACTGCTTTATTAAATCCAAGTTTTTCAGTCCAGTGTTTTTGGGCCAAAAACTTTTAAACAAAATCCCATTAAGAATTTATCCTGGTCTTCCTTCCTGGTGACTACGGCGATCTCTCCTATTCTAGAAAACTAGAATTTAGAATCGTAGTTAAAAGGACACTGCCAGCAGTGTTGGCACTGACATTTAACCTCTTTGTTTTTAACTGAGAATAACTTGATTTGTAGAAACATTAATGTTTGGAGTAAAATTAAGGCTAAGCCATCAGTCATAGTAAGAAAAGTATGGTAAGGAAAATTCTTGGCAATTCTATTATGTTAAAATATCTTAATTGGTCTCTATTGTAGTGGTGGAAAATGTGTTAATTTTGATATACAAAAAACTAGAACTCTTGGTTCCAAAATGATACCTTTTATTAGACCAACTGGGAAATTGCAAGAAAATTGTCTTTTTTCTGCAAGCTTTAGGGATCAAAGTCCCTTCATCAGGCTCTGGGGAAAGTAGAGATGGTACAAGATGGTAAAAAGTCTCCATAGGTAGGAAATAAGCTTAACCTTCGCACAGAGGGAGCTGAAGATGGAAGGCTGTCCCTCTGGGTCCATGAGAGTGTCTTCGTGAGCTGTGCTGAGTTGCTCTTTGTGTAGATCAGGTAGGATTCCTTCCCTGGAGGTGTCAGATGGCAGGCAGGGAGGTAAAAAATCTTTCTTGTTGTTCTCCAATGAAGTTTAAAATCCAGTTTAATTTTGATATTGAATAGTGTAATAATGTTCAGAATTAGTCTCAGGTTTCTTTAATATTAGACCTATGACTTGGTGTCAGACACTGGGAAGAGACATCAGTTAAATGAAGCTCACTTTATTCTCAGCTGTTTTCTCAAATAGTTTTTTCTTCTATTAACAGCATGGTAATTATACTCTACTAACATTGTGCTCCTGTTTAGAAAGCTTACTGTAAGATTTGCTCCTTTTACGTAGAGCGTTATGGAGCTTCTGCCTTTCACCTTGAATTCCTGGAAATGAAACAAAATTTGTTTAATAGAATAATGTGGTTATTGTAATTTAAGATACTTGCAGTTAATTGATTGTGGGTTTGTGTCTCTTTGCAGCACCTGCTAGTGTTCGTTTTGTTCACAATGATGTCACAGTACCTGACTTCTCTGACTATCGTCACCCTGCGGTGTTAGATAGCACCAAGTCTTCACAAGACAGCGGCGATGCTAGGAGAGGCTTCTCCTATCTGATGACTGCAACAGCATGTGTAACCACTGCGTATGTTGCCAAGAATTTTGTTACCCAGTTTATTTACAGCTTGAGTGCTGCAGCTGATGTGATAGCAGTGTCAAAGGTTGAGATCAAGTTGTTGGATATTCCTGAAGGCAAGAACATGACTTTCAAGTGGAGAGGAAAACCTCTTTTTGTGCGCCACAGAACCCAGGATGAGATTAATCGGGAAGGAGCAGTTAATTTGGCTGAACTCAGAGATCCACAGCATGATTTAGAAAGAGTAAAGAAACCAGAATGGCTCATACTGATCGGTGTCTGCACTCATCTTGGTTGTGTACCCATTGCTGGTGCTGGTGAATTTGGTGGCTATTACTGCCCTTGTCATGGGTCACATTATGATTTGTCTGGTAGAATTAGAAAAGGCCCTGCTCCATTAAATCTTGAAATTCCATATTATGAATTTACAAGTGATGATTTAGTTGTTGTTGGTTAGATGACTGGGCACTTGCTTACTTTCCTTCATCTTGTTCTGTATACGCTCTGTAAAAAGGTTAACTAAGATTCTGGTGTAACAGAAAGATGGGTGATCCTAAAGCATAGCCAGTTGTCCTCTCACACTTTAAGACAGAAGTCTGCTTGAATGCTTCCTTGTGTTCAGTTTTAATAAAGAATCAAGATGAATGAACCTTTGTCTGACTTACTATCATAAGGTGTAATTTTCTCACTCTGCCTAATTAAAGAAATATTACAAAATACATGAAGTAGTAAATACTATGTTATGTTCTTATGAATAGTTACTTGCCTTGACTTAACATATTTCTACCACAACTTTCTGGCAAACACTTAAATAGCAAAACAGAGGAATAGCTGAAATTGGAACAATTCTGGAACAGTCACCTGACTTGACACTTTCTCTCTGATTCATAAATAAGATTTGATTAATTCATTTTCATGAACAACGTTAATCTGTCACTTGAATCTGAGTGGTTTCTCATGTTTTCATGGTACCATGAAAGATGTTCCCAATGGTGTGTGTGTGTTATATTACAAACTGAAGGAAAATGTATATACGGGGGCTATTGGCCTTTGTGACTTTAAGAAAAGAATTCTATTTTAATAATCTAGCCTCTTCTATTATTGGTTTAGGAAATTTAGGAATTTCTATGGTTTAATGTAAAGTCTTTTCCTAATATAATTCTGTAATACAAAGCTGTCTATTCTTAGTTTACTCCTACTACAAGGAGTCTTCTCTATTAATTTTAAATTGTAACACTTACAAACTTGCTTCAGTATCTGTTACCAAAATACCATTAGTTTATTTTCTCTGCTGAGCCTATTGTTTTGGTGAATGGGAAATGGTTATTTCATTGGCTTTTTTTTTTTAAACAGTAGTACTGGGCTGAATTAATAGTTATAAAGCTTAGTTCCATTAAAACACATGTTTATTCTTGAACTTCAGGCAAAAACCTTATGTTAATAACTTGCCACTTCCAGCTCCCAATTTCTGTTGCAGATCGTTAAGTGGATGAGAACCACAAATGCCTCTTCTGCTTTCCTCTTTAGAAAAATGTGAAATAGGCAAGAACTCAAAGGATTGTTCTTTGTGATCAAACATTTGAAGAAAGAAAATTGCAACTTGTTGGGCAAGTAGAATCATGTTTTAAGATTTAGGTTCTCTATTTCCTAGAGAAGACAGTTTCTGAGCTGGCCCTGGGATCTCTTGTTGATGGTAGATATCTAGTTTAGCAGTTAAGATGAGAAATTCACAAGAATTTACATTTTTTTTTTTATCACCACCAAATTGAGCCATGGAATTCTTCAAAATATTTGTAGCTTTAATAAGGTCCATCATGCTTGCATATGTATAAAATAATACTCTATATGCTTGCAGTCTGTTGACATTCTGCCACGCAACCAAGGTAGGAACGGTTTTACCCCACCAGTTCTTTTAGGCATTGTCAGCTTAAATCATATCTCTATATTTTACAAATGTTTAGATTCCTGCAGCATAGACTGAAGAGAAAAGAAGACTTCTCAATGTATGTATTTGGTGGTAGGTTACATATAGTTTTCTTGGCACAGTTCTGTCTGCTATTTTATACAGGATTTTGGAAGAAAAATCATTTTTAAAAATGGAAAAAAAGTGCCAGGATACTTCAGAACAGGCACTGTACCTAAAGTTTTAATGTTGCTGTTAGGAACTAACTATTTTCAAACTACTGGGTCTCTTAATATTCTTTTGAAGGGGATCATGAAACCCTTTTTGTGAAGTGTCAGCAGTTTCCCCCGATCTATTTATGTAAAATTCCTATAAATTTAAGATTGTGTTACTAGATAGAATGCACATCTGCATGACGATAGGACTAACAGTTTCATTGCAAAACACCCTAATCCTTTCAGAATTGCTTGGTAAGCCTTAGATTTGTATAAGATCAAGTTCATAGGACAATCAGCTACTGAAGGGATTACCGTTACAGAGGTAAGGGGACTGATGGAGAGAAAACTAAAACACTGTCAAAACCAAATAGAACTGTGTGGTACTTCTAAATAAAGAGACCTTAGCCTCCCACAGAATAGGAAGAATAAGACATCATAGGACAGAAATAGGTTGATAAATGTATATTAAATGAAGTGGTTAAAAATGATTACTTATTAAATTCTCCAATACCTTTAGAAAACCTTTTAAAATTGTTTGCTTCTATTAACGTGCTGTATGCTCTATCTTCTTGATTATGACCAATATTTCTTTAATTGGGTATTGGTCTGCTGCAGTTAAGACATCTGACTTCAGTATAAATTGCATATCCTTGGTGTTTTTGAAAATAATCAGATTCAGACTCCAACTGGGACATGACCCTATTCCAACAGTAACTACAGAACCTGTCAACATATCTCCAGTGCTAAAACAAAGCTATCAGAATCTATGGATCTCCTCATAAGGCCTGTTCTTTTAACCTCTAATCATGTGTGTAGCTCTCCTCTGGACTCTCAAACTTTTCTACATCCTTTCTAAAGCATGGAGCCCAGAACTGGATGCAACACTCCAGATCAATAAAATGAACTTTTTTCCTCATCCACATGAGTTAAATCTTTGTCTCTGGATTTTTTTTTTTTTAATGTATCTTATTTAATGTAATCGGATACTTCCATTACACAAATGTATAAAGAGCTGTGAATTTGTCTCAGGCTCATTCTATTTCAGCAGGCTATAACGAGCAAGTCCTCTGGTCATTATTGTTAAAGCAGGTTTACTTAAAGTAGCACTAATCATGTTTTTATAACATTGGCTTGGGACTCAATGGGCTCGTCTACACAAGATGTTTACTGTGCGGTTGACCAATTAACTGCACAATAAACAATTTGGCATCTACACATGCCCCTTTTAGGATGCATGAAACTAATAAACTGTACAGCACGGTAGTTCTTGTGAATACAAGTACACCCTGTGTGATCAAGACCTTGTATATTCTTCCTAGATAAAGTGAGTTCTCAGGGAAAAAAGATTAAAATGTCCGGGCTGCGTAGGTGCCTCAAACAGGCAGAATTAAGGTAGCCAGGCCGAAACTGCGTTCCTGAAAAATTCCAATCAGTTGCCAGCTAACCTAGACGCCTTTGAACCATAAAGGAACTTCCTTCCTTGAGTGTACATCAAATAATACTCAATCACGTGTTCAAAATAGCTACAATCAGTCTGAATTGCTTCACACCTTGGTTGTAGAAATGAGATATTCCTCCACGTAAGTCCTCTGAGGATGCCTTCATTTGTTGAGCATTTTAAAGAACACCTAGCAGACATGAGTGGGCTTGTCACAAATAGCACTGAGAATGGCTGCTTTATTTAAAACAATTGGTGAAGCAGAGCCAATTTCCTGCCTTTTCCATAAGTCTAGTTGTTAAAACAGTTGCTCAGGGAGTGAGAAACCCAGGTTCAGTTTTCCCACTGACCAAAGGGAATTCGACCACACAGAGTGACACAGTCCACTGGGAATAGGCTATTCTGAGTAGAGGCGCTCTCTGCATCTTGTTGAAGCTGTGCTACTAGCCAGAAAAGAGTACAAAATCCAAGGGCCCCAGAAGAAAGAATATGAGAGAGACCAAGCCTTAGCATGTTTATGAGACATAAGGAAAGCTGGGTAGTGAAGAAAAACTGACCATGCTGCAAGTCTGTGCGAGGGTTGGGAAAGAAGATATGGTCAGCATGCCCTCATCAACAGCACCCGTGTGTACAAACAAAGCCTAATTTATGAGCAATGACTGCTTAAAGTGAATCCTGTTATTCTGCTCACATGAAAAAAAAATAGAACACAATAAAACTGAATACATTTGTTGAAAAAAGACATCTGATGCTTCTGGAACACACAGTTATTTCTTAATACATGGAGACATGGTAATATCAGACAGAGCAGCTGTTTCATTTCTGTGTCAGACTTGTGTCACAAACTTGTTTGTCAGTTAACAGAAGATAGCATTATAGTACAATACATTGTAAAGAAACATTCTCGGGATAAAATGTGTTCAAATGTTGTGTCAATTATAGCTTTCCCCAAAGCGTCCACATTTTGTGAGGAACTCTCGTCCATCCCCTCTCGGATCTCCTCAAGGTCAATAACTCCAGACACACACAGCCCGAACAGCATTACATCTTGCTGGCCAGTATTAGTTCTCCTACTAATGCCAAACAAATCCAGCGACTAATTGAAAAATATGAACTTGAAATACCATCCACTATTTTCAAAAAGGTTCTTGATAGTTTGGTGGTGGCATTCACTTCATTGTTATGACACACATTGCAAGTGAAAGGTAGAAGTATTTTTGTACAATCAAAGTAGTATGTATACACCCCAGTGGGTGTATCTACATGAGATGTTTACTGCTGAGTTACCTAATCAGCTCCACAGTAAATGTCTCAGCATCTACACGTGCAGTGCTATTAGGGCAGAGTAAACTGCCCTAATAGCAGTTACTTGTGTAAACACAAGTACTATCCTATGGCAGAGTTTTTTACTCTGTATTAGCACGCGCACAGGATGCTGACAGCAGGCTGGGGCACAAGGGTGCTTCCATGCAGAGGACTGCCTCTGGCTAGTCTCACTGAAGCCCTTGCTTGCCCCAGCCATGCTCCATAGCATGTTGAGCCAGATCAGAGCAGCCCCAGGCTGGCAGGCTAACCTCTTAGCCCGCTCCAACCTGGCTCAACATGCTGCTGTCCCAGGCACGTGTTCAAACATGGCACCCAGGAGCAATAAACACCAGGACAATGTGCACCAGAGTTCATTACTGTGCATTAATTGCACATGCAGATGTACCCAGAGTCTCACAGCCTATCAAAACTACTACTATTGAGTCAATTGCCTTGTTTTCCTAGAAGTTTGTGGCTATTGGTCCAACTCTTGTTCTTATATATTGCAGGTATATTAGAATGAGCTTAATGTAACTGTTATTCTTAATACCTAATTTTCTTTTGTACACATCCTCAGACAAGGTATGTACCTTGTTTTTGAAATGAAGATAGAAAGATCCTTCCTTGAAAATACTGGTATACAGAAGCAAGTAATGGAGTAGCAGCTTCTGCTGCATGATCCTCCTGGGGGCAGAGAGGTGGGGAATGAGAGTGTCCATGGCCAACAGCAGGGGAGCCTCACCAGCTCATTGTGCTGCCCTCTACCCAGCACATGCAGCTTTACTTTCATTTTCCTTAGCAGAGGCACAAACTGGTGTTACCATAATTGCTCACTTATAATGTGCATTGTGATTTCT